CCTCTGGAAGGCCAAACTTTTTAATACCGTTACTTTGGGGTTTAGGATTCCAACATATGAATTTACAGAGGACTCAAGCATTCAGACCATAGAAATCCCTTATCAGATTTCTGGTTTACAATCTATTCTCCCATTCTATGGTTTTGATTTCACTCTGCTGATAGAGTCCTTGGATGAACACAAGATTTTTTTTTTTAAACCAAGGATCCAACTGGGGACCTTGGGCTTACGAGGCAGGTGGCAGCACCACTGAGCTAAATCCCCAGCCCCAAAAGCATTTTTTGTTGTCATTTTTGTTTTGTTTTGTTTTGTTTTTTTGTTTGTTTGGTTGGTTGGTTTTTTGTTTTGTTTTGTTTGGTACCGGGGATTGAACTCAGGTCCTTGCACTTGCAAGGCGGGCCACCGAACCGCTGAGCTAAATCCCCGGCCCTCAAAAGCATTTTTAAGTACAATTTGCTCATTCTTTTCATTGCCTATGCTTCTATAATCTATTGCCAAATTCAATATCATAAAACCCTGTCCTTTGCTTCTAAGAGCTTTATGATTTTTAGTTCTTCTATTTAGGTGTTTGGTTCAGCTTGAGTTAATATTTTTATATGAAGTATGAAGTAAGGATCCAGCATCATTCTTTTACATCTGTCTATCTATCTGTCCAGTTTTTCTAACGTAGTTTCTTCGAAAGACCAGCCTTTCCCCATTAAATAGTCTTGGCATCCTAGTAGGAAAACATTTGAGCGTATGTGAGAGGATATATTTGTGGGCTTTCTGTCCTGTTGCACTGGTTTATTTATCTGTCCTTATTTCAGGACCATACTACCTTGGTTACTGCAGTTTTGTGGTAAATTCTGAAGTGAGAAAAGTGTGAGTCCACCACTTCTGAGTTCTTTATTCATATTTTTTGTCTACTTGGGACTCTGCAATTGTATACAAATTTTAGGGTGAATTCTTCTATTTCTGCAAGTACATTATGATTTTTGGCAGGGACTGCTTTAAATCTGTACATCACTTTGAATAATGTATTCTCAATTCTGCAAGCTTTGGGTTGTTTGCCCTTTTTTCTAAAATATATAGTTAGATTATTTTTTGTTTCTTGTTTTTTAATGTGTTTATTCCCATCTATAAATTTCCCTCTTAACACTTTTTGCTGCATCTCATAAATTTTGGTGTAGTGTGTTTATTTTCATCCTTCTCATTGTACTTTCTAATTTCCTTTGTGATTTCTTGTTGACCTCTTGGTTATTTCAAGAGTATGCTATTAATTTCCATGTATTTGTGGCAGTGAAAATAGGCCAACCTAAGAACGTGCAACAAGGGCTGTACTGACTACTGAATTCAAAACAGTAATAAAACTGGTGGATATTGGTCTGCTTTCTGTTACTGTCATGTGTCAGAAACTGAATGTAAGTAATAAAATTTTCCTTCTTGAAAATAAAAACCTTTGTGGGTTAATAATCTAAATATTCATTGTAGTTACTATTTAATAATGTATATTAAGCTTCAGTGAGCATATTTTCATTACTTATTCCCCAGTAAACATTGTATTCTATGTAACATTTTTTTTTTTTTTTGGTTTTTTGAGACAGGGTCTCACTAGTTCAGAATGCCCTGGAACTCACTGTGTAGCCCAGGTTGGTCTCGAATTCACAGCTGTCCTCCTGCCTCAGCCTCCCGAGTGCTGGGATTATATGCGTGTGCCACCACGCCTGGCATGCTCTATGAAACTTTTATTCAAAGGACTCCCAGTAAAATATGTGAGTTCCTTTGGGAAGGAATCACCCAAATTATGTTTATTTATTTACCTTTATAATGAAGGTTCTGTCATTGAAAATTTACAGTTTAAATGAAAAGATATAAAAAGCCACTGAGATTTAAGATAGAAACTGCAGTAAAGGGAAATTTGAAAATCCCTGCTATAGTTTCTATATGACTTGAGTAATTTTGACAGTAATTTTACAATATTAAAATAAAGAAAAGCATTTACTGCCATTTCAATTTTATTAAATAAGCCCATATATAATCCAAAACTACTAGTTTGTACAGTTAGTCTTCATTAATATGTTACTTATAAATTTCTGTCATTTTAGAAAATCGCTAGGGCCTTGTTTTATATATTTATAAAGTAAGTCATCACTGATTTATAATGATGCTAATAAAATGCTTATAGCAAATGTTGCTCTTGCTCCTTTTAAATCTGTTACTGGCAAGTTATTTTACTTTCAGAAAACGGGATGGATGAAGAGTCAGACATTTTGTCTTATTAAGCCGTCTATAGACAAAATCATTTTTTTGAATTCTACTGATAGGAAGGGATCAGAAAATAGTCTGTTCCAGATCAGACCCTGTTATCCAATTTCTAGAAATCTCTTTCGGTTCATGCCTGTTCCATCACCACCTTAGGCTCTTCCACTTTCTTTTTTTTCTTTCTTCTTCTTCTTCTTCTTCTTCTTCTTTTTTTTTTAAATCATGTCAGCTAGAGAGAAATAGAGAGTTCTATAGTTTGGTTTGCAAAAGTCTCTGAAAAGTCCGTGTGCCAAAGGCTTGGTCCCTAGCCCGTAGAATTACTGGGAAGTTCTGGATAAAGGAAGTGTGGTATGTATACACAGTGAGTCTTATTCAGCCACAAAGAAGAATGAAATCATGTCATGCACGGGAGCAGGGATGGCACTAGAAAACATCGTGCTGGACAAAATAATCCAAACTCAGTCAAATATTGTATATTTTCCCTTATGTGTGGGATCTAAATAAAATATTTAAAGAATGAAAGATGATTTAAAAGTAAAAGAGAGACTATTAGAAGTGAAGAAAGAGATTAAGGAGAGAATCAAGGAAAAGGGAAGGTAGACAATGGGAGGCTAAAGACATGCTTGTTATGTGTGTCTATGAATACACTGAGATGAAACCCATTTTTCTTATAACTAATATGGACTACTACAAAATGAAATCTTTTAGGGCCGGGGATTTAGCTCGGTGGATCCACCACCTGCCTTGCAAGCCAAGGACTTGAGTTTGATCTCCGGTACCAAAAAAAACAAAAAACAAAACACACACACACACACACACACACACACACACACACACACACACAAACATGAAATCTTTTAATTTAAACATTTCTTCTGGATTGAATTATTACATGGACAATAGTAGCACGCCATCAGTCAAAATAGTTTCAAATTTTGAGAAATATTCTTTAATATAAAGAGGTAAAATTTTACTGGAAATGGACATTTTTTTAAAAAAAGCTAGTTCATGTGTTCAATGTTACTTATTGTTCGAATGATACAGGGTTTGGCATCAGTTCTACTCAGTATTTTCATGACTTTCAGTGCTAAGCATGTGAGCTCAAGTAAATAAGGAGCTAGAAATAGAATTTTGCTACACTATTGTCAATGAGTTCTTTTACCTTCTTCTGAGCTAATCACATAATATTATATAATCAATAATATTAAAGTATTGGTACCTAAATTTTGTTGAAACCAACAAATTAGAAGCTACTTGACTTATAAATTGATTTGTAAACAATTCAATAAGTCATTCATTTGTTCATTTTCTGGGAAGTATCCCAAAAAGATTTTACCAGGACTTGTCAAATTATTGTTAATTATGATAGGTAGAGGTACTTACTATGGTCAATAGACTCAGAGAAGGTTCAGAAAATGAAACTGCTATTCATTTAAATTCTCTGTAATGTAATTTTTATCAAATTCTTTATTTTACTTTATGCTTTTTTCAGTCTTGAATCTGCATTTTGATATCCACCTCGATCAATTTATAGTAAAATCCAGTGCCTAATCTAATTGGCAAAGCCTGTTCTCATTGTCAAAACCATCAGCCAAAACAGAAAAATGTGGCTTCATTTTTTAAGTTTAAACATATTACTTTGCATCTCTATGACAGCCATCCAACTACTGATTTTTTTCTCCTAAGATAGACAACTGAATAGATAAATACACAAAACTATTGAGACTTTCAAGAATAAAAATAAGATTTTCTGCCTTCACCCTTTCTGGTATTTTCCTTGCTTTATTCTCACAGGGCCATTCCTTGGGAGAGATGTGTTCTTGGTCAAAGAATAGAAGAGGTCATGTTGAAGAAAAATTGTTGTCACTTCTGCTGTATCTATAATGTATCTGAATTTATATCCTTACCCAGCTCAAAATGACATCATTTTAAAAATGAAACTTCTCCTGTAACTAAAATACATGAAAGCATGGGAAAAACAGCCATACTGAGGTGCCTTTAAAATGAGGTTTCGCACCAGTCAATATCGTAACTTGTACCCTTGGTACCCCAAGGCAATGAATGAGTTCATTTAAATTGGAGATAGGTGAAATAGGTACCCTCCTTATAAAGGAGAAGGGCAAATGGAAAAGTAGAAGTGAAAAAGGATCGATATCAGAATGTCTTCAGCCTGGAAAAATTCACCTAGCAAAAAGAAAGTGATTCTGTGCTGTAGGTGGGGTTAGTCTTAAAAGAGTGCATATGATATACAATAGTTAAAGGCAAACTGATCTGTGAAGTTCAGTATTAATTGTATTTCATAACAAGTTGATAGACCAAGGCCTGAAAAACTGGCAAAGACTATTGTAAACAGTACCAAAATATTGCTACCATATAACCAGATGGTTTCTGTGCTCAGAAAATACATTATCAGTGATTCCCTAAACATTCATTGAAAGTAACTAATCAAGCAACTAAAAGACAAATGAAAAAATGGCAGATGAATCTTTTTTATTAGTTTCAAATGAACATACTGGACTTTCCCCAAAATGTTTTAATTAAATCATTTCTAGCTCTCTAAAGGACAAATGAGAAAGAAGAAACAGCAAAAGTAATTATTCAGAAAAATTTGATAAAAATTATACCACCATAAAAAGCTTAAAGAACTCCTCAAATGATCAAGATGATGGTCTTATTTATAATCAGTTAAGTTCTCTAAACCAGCAAGAACATTTTTTCCCACTTCCTTATATTCACAAGCCTTGCCCAAATTTATTTTTAATAAGCTTATCTTGTAATTTCTCTAATCTTCTGTTCTCAGTGCTAAGAAACCCATTAAATCTGAAATTTTACTAGTTGATTGACAAAACACAGGGGAAAGCAGCAGTACCAGATACAAGATGGCGGCCTTCAGGAGGCTAAAGAAAGAGCTTGAGGAGATTGCAAACGTGGAGTGAAAAACTTCCATAACATCCAGGTTGATGAAGCCAATTTATTGACTTGGTAAGGGCTTATTGCTCCTGACAGCCCTCCATGTGATAAAGGACCTTTAGAACTGAAATCAACTTTCCAGCAGAGTACCCACTCAAGTCACTGAAGATCACATTTAAAACAAAGATCACCCAAACACTGATGAAAAAGGTCAGGTTTGCCTGCTGTTAATTAGTGTTAAGTCCTGGAAGCCAGAGACCAAGACCAACCAAGTAATCCAGTCCCTCATAGCATTGGTGACTGACTCTCAGCCCAAGCACCCTCTCCGGGTTGACCTAACTGAAGAATACTCTAAGGACCATAAAAAATTCTGTAAGAATGCTGAAGAGTTTACAAAGAAATATGGGGGAAAGCAACTTATGGACTAAAATCTACCACAAATGATTCCAGCAAATGTGAGGAGAGATCCGGCAAAGCACAACTCTGTGGAAAATTGACATGTGCCTGCCTGGCGTTAACTTGTGGCAGTTACTAACTTTCTACAATTTTCTTAATCAAAAGTGATCTAGTTACTTGTAAAGAAAGGATTAAAACTTTCAGACATTGTAGTTCTGCTTTCTTTGTTATAAAAATCACTGCTTTAATTCACTTTGAAAACATGTTTCTTTTCTCATCCACATTTACCCAAAATCTTCAAATTGTATTTAACCCATAAAGTTAAAAAAAAAAGAAAATAAGGGTTCTAGTTCCTCTTCCTTCTGTGCCCTTGCAACTCCCACTCTGCATTCAATTTGTTTTTCGCAGATTCACTTCATATGACCCAGATCCCATTCTGCAAAGAAGAAATGGCTCTGGTGGTTATTCTCCCAGGCCACACTGCCCTCCTTGGAAGTTGGTCCAAATTCTCCTGGTGCCAGTCTATAACACCCTTTTAATAAATTACAAAACAATCAAATAAGTCCTCCCCACCCGCCAAAAAAAATACAAAATGAAAAGAAAGGCCCTGCAAAGGTAGGCCCAGCTCTTCTGTGAAAATCTGATCCACGTTTCTGCAGCAGTGAGGAGTAAGTGGGCAAGCTCCAACGTCTGCGTGTACCTGACTGCATTGCAGCCTCACCTGGCCTGTGTAGGGGAAGCGCGCTCTGGCGGGACGGCTTGCCAGCTGAGGACACTACACTTGAGAGATGAGGATGATGATGACGATGAACGTCTCACCAGAAAGGCTCCTGAGGCCAAGATTCAGCACCCCTCTCTGCAGCCATGTTAGAAGATCCACTGGTCGGTGCAGGAAGAGCAGAAGCCAGAATATCCATTTCCAAGTCCAAGCTCCTCCATCCAGATCTCCATCAGAATGTGCCACTGGGCTCTGTGGTTCCTCTCCGCAGCAGCTCCACCGCAGCCCTCCCTTGGCACGGTTTGACCCTTTGTGGGACTGGAATTGGCTGGACTCAGCTTCACATGTGGCATCAGTCTGGGGTTGATGGGGCCCCTGCTGGCCTCTTCCTTCTGAGCAGCCCAGCCCAGGAATAAGACACCTTCCTTTTCCCTTTGGACTCAGTCTTTGCAGAATCAACTCCACTTGAAGCTCACTCAGTAATACCTTTCAATGTGTTTTATATTGTTTTGATTGCCTTGTTTTATAGAAATAAAAATTGACCTTAGGGAAAAAAGAATAAAGAAAAAAAACTTAGGACTTAGTTCCTTTTCCACTTATTTCTGCTTCGTTAGAATTTGCCTATAATTTTCCTAAGCTTTATTCTGATTATTACTTTCATGGAACATAACTATTCCGGGTCAGATGTAAATTACCCAACAACATTCTGATATGGGAATACTGTGATATTCACTTTCAGACCTTAGCTGCTGAACACACTGAAATTTCAAGATGTCTCGGGGCAAAAAAAGAGAGCTAAATCGGGGCTAAAGAGAGTCGAGCAAGAAGTAAGAGATTGAAAATTTAAACTATGAATTGTGTTGTTGGTATTTAGGACGAGACGATGATGTTCTTTGCTTTTCTGCTCCGAGTTTTGGCTTTCTAATGGAGTGAGATGAGATAAAAATAAAAAACATATTGAGTAAATCATCACAAAGAGATATTGAACTCCTTATAAAAAAAAAAAAAAGTAGGAGAAAAGCTGAGATGAGAGAACTCTGGTCTTCATATGCTCTTCACCAAGACCTCGGCAAGTATTCATTTTCAGAACCAGGCTGGATCCCCTAACAGTCGGCCTCAGGAAGCCTAAACACTAATCAGTGGCAATTAAAAGTTTCACTGGGCACTATTAAAACTTTCAAAGTCAATGAGTTGGAGGAGCAGTGGCAAATGAGTGGCAGTGGGGATTGTTAAATAGTCACTGTTTGCAGGATACATCAGCCGTAGGAGTGTGCAAATTAAAAGATTTCTCCTGCGACACCGAGTCACTGAGAAACTCATTTAATCACATCCCTAAATAATTAGAAGCTCCGTGCATTCATTAAAAACCAAAAATAAGTGCTTGTACCATGTGCAGGTAAATGACAGCAGGGACACGCAAAAGTTGTTTTCTAGTTCAGACTCGGAAAAATGTGTCATTTTTTATTGGTTGAAGAAAAAAATTTTCCTATAATAATTTTGTGATTATGCTCTCGTTAGGAGCCACAAAGGAACTCAAGAAACCCAGAGCTCTCATAAAGTATCCTGTTATTTCCATTTCCTCCTCAATAAGAGTTTTATGGTAAAACTAACATAATGAGACTTAGTACTCTTTAGCCCTCTGCCTGGGGATGCTCAGTTACATTTATAGATATTAAGGTTAAGAGAAACTTCATACCAAAAATGTCAGGTGGCTGGAGATGTATGCAGTTTACATTGGATAGATTTTTCAAAGAAACTGTGTCCAAATATCTCTGGAGGTTGGTTTGGAAAGAAAGAATAAGGAAAATATGTCACCTTTTAGCCATTCTTTTACAAGAAGGAACATGTTCACATGGCTACTGTTGATGCTGTCTTGTACCAAGCTGTCAACTCTGCTGGGATGAGCCTCTGACACCCATGCTGAATGCAGTGCCCTTGACCACAGCTTTAGTTTGGGTAGAAGGAAGAAATGGCACTCATTCCATTTACAGATGTACACTGCTCCCTCCTTGGCCCCTGGGATTAGGCAATACAATGTTGAATTGCTTGCAAACCTTGACTTGAAGAGTCTGTCCATGGATAGAGAAGATAAAACAGTTCTTTAACAATGATGATGCAAGGTATAGAGGTAAGGCACTATTAAATGCCTAAAAGATTTCTGGAAGACACTGCTAGAGTTATTTGGGAAAGATAGCTAGGAGCCAAGAGTTGGACAAAGACTGTACTTAAAATGAATAGCTTTTCATAGCTTTCACTATGTGCAGAAACTGTTCCAGTGCTTTATTTCTAAATGTGTTTAATGATCATCTGTTATAAAATTGATGGGTTTATCATCTCTTCAAAAATGTTTTAGTATAGTTTAATAACCTATCATGAAGCAAACACTTGTATAACCACAAGCTAGATTATTAAGTAGAATATTGCCAGTCTTTATTGGGCCCCATCTCAGTCATTACTTTTTCCCCTGTTTGGGATACATAGCACTATCCAATCTGATTACAACCTGTGCCTCCAGACTAATGTCTCACTACTCTGCCCTATGTTCCAGTCACACCAAATTCTTTGCAGTCTCTCAACATGATAACTTTTCATGGGTATCTAACTTTGTTCTGCTCTTTCCGTTTTTCTTAAATGTCTTCTCATATCCTTTCTCTCCTACACCCTAGACATCCTTTACCTAGGAATCATTTTCAAATGTCCAGATGAAAAGCTGTTTACCTAAAGCCATATAGCGTGTGCTTAATTAGTATTTGTTAAATGAACATGAGCTCACATATGAGCAATGTTCAACAATGACCTTATTCACAGCAGAAATTTTTTTTCCTGAAGTCACTGATGTATACTTTTACTAATTAATACTAGAGGATGGGAACATAAAGACAATGTTAAAATTCTTTGCAAATATTTTAAATGTGGTTTTAGGGTAGAACAATGCCAATTTATGAAACCCAAGAATCTATAGTTTAATACTTCACTTCCCAAAAGATGACAAGGAACTTCATTTTAGTTTTGTCCCCTATTGGAGTCTCATAAGTTAGAATAAGTAAAACTCAAGGAAATATTATAACAAAGCTCTTTAACTATTAGTAATCCAAGTTTATTAAATTTCAGGTATATTTCTGTACATTTCCATAAGGGTAAGGGTGACTGATAAGAGGACATCATTAAACAAAAATCAAGAATTCAAGCCCTTTTAATGCATGCTATACATGCAAAACAACAAGTTCCTGTTTCATTGACTAAGAGCACAACAGTAATCAGCTAAGGAGGCAGAAAGGAGAAGCCACAGAAAAAAGAAAAGATCTATAGAAGTGCTTATTACAGAAGCCACTGGGAGTTTCAGGAAAGCCAAAGATGACAGAGGGATTCAGAGCAGTACATTTCTAAGATTAGTAGAAATAGGCTGAAGAGACATTATCCTGTAACTGTTAAAATGCAGACCTCAGCTACACTCCCACAAAAATAAAAGGAGCATGTGACGTAATTTGAAGAAAGGTGCAGTGGTGAGGACTGATGCCAGATTACATTATAATGAAAGGTAAATGAGTAGGAAATAAAATGAGGGCCGAGGATTTAGTTCAGTGGTTTCGCTGCCTGCCTTGCAAGCACAAGGTCCTGAGTTCAATCCCTGGTACCAAACCAACAAACAAAAAAGAAGTCAAATAAAGTCAAACACATACTGAAAAAAATTGCAAATAAAAGGGGGAATATAGGGCAATGACCAAAATGGGTACCTGGGTCACAGAATGCAGTTTGGTTTGTTTGAAAAGGAGAGAAGCCCATGGTAGTTGGGGGAATTTGGGGAGAGAGGTAAAGAGAGTAAAAATTTATTGAAATTAGCTTTCTGATAAAGCAAGCGGGCTACAAATTGAGGGCTTAGTGTTTAAAAAAGAAAATCTGTACTCTGAAATCAGAAGATCGGAAATGGGTTGTAGGGCATTATTTAGGTAGATATATTCATATCGTTTGATCTTGTCTAAAATGAGAGAAAATACTATTAATTAAAAGTATTGTAAATGTACAAAAAAGTAAGGGGATCAAGAGATGGATGGAAGGAGGAGAGAAGGAAAAGGGGACGAGAAAAGGAATTGAGATGTATTAGGTCCATGTACCAGCTCCCCAGCAGGAACGCAAACATGCGCTACACGTGTGCTAATAAACTGATCTGAAAAAAGATGGATGATGTAATCTATGAAGCCATGATTATGGTTGCATGTACTAGAAATAATGAAGTATTGCTAAAATACATCAACAAAAGTCCTTGGACTTCATAACTCCAGAAGGCCCTGAAACATCATGCTAATGAGTTGAGGATAACAGAGGGCTGGCCATGGGTAGTAAAATGTAGTTACATGCTTAAGAGGGGCATCATTAAAATAGTGTCCACGGAGGCTTTGTATGGAAGGGCTAACTCATAGGACTATGTAGGGAGAGAGCACTCCAGGGTGCCCCACGTATTTTTACTAATTAGAAATGCTCAAATTGAATTGTTTGGATTAAAGAGAAAGTGAGTGGTAGGCAGAGACCAGCCCAAGTATCCCTGTGTATAATCCATTTGTTGTCCTTTTATCATTTGAAGTACTGCACTGGATTTCCCATTACGGGTTCCACTACATTGCGTTTGAACTGCTTCACAGGTGTGTGGGAGCTAATCAGATCGTTACCTTTCAGAGAGAGACAGAGATTCCTCTTCCTAAACATGTTTTTTTCTAGCAGGGCTTAATGTGTGTGTGTGTGTGTGTGTGTGTGTTACATCTAGAAAATGTCATAGATAAAGGCTAATTCAGTTGAGATGGATAGAAAAACAGCAGATCATCTGCTAGCAGAGCTCCACTGCTTAGCAGTTACAATGTAAAATGTCATTATTAGACTAAATTGATGCCTGAAAGGGTTGATACTTCCATTGTCAAGCGCGACTGATACACAAGAAATAGAAATTATGTTATCTGTGTCGGGTGGTGGTGGCCAGTGCTGGGACTACTACTGGGATTGTGCTTATTCTTCAAAATGTTGTCAACAATAACACTCCTTTCAAACAGTGAAAAAATGTGTTTTTCTGGTGGATTATGATGAGACTAAGATAAAAAATGAAAATCTGAGAACAAGAGCAACAATGAGAGAAAGAAAAAGAGATGTTAATTCATCCCACAACTCTTTGTGTCTGCACCACCAAAAGCAAAACAATAAAAAACAAACCAAAAAACCTAATTTTTAAATAAAGAACAATTATTGACTTGTTCCTGAATGTCATTTAAAAAATAAATGGCAAAACAAATGGAAAGGCATCCTGTGTTCAGGGCTTAGAAAAATTAATATTGTAAGATGGCAATATTCCCCAAATGATGTCTAGAATCCCCACAATTTCTATCAAAATCCCAGCTGCAGAACTTGACAAGCTGATCCAAAAATTCATAGAGAAATGGGACTCAAAACAGACTTGAGAGAGGAGAACAAATTGGAAGACTCACAGTTTTTTTATTCCAAAATTTATTCCAAAGCTACAGTGAGCAAAACATTTGGATTAAGGGAATAAAACTGAGAGTTCAGAATATACTCAGACATTTATTGTCAATTTATTTCTAACATGGCTGCTAAAATAATTCAGTGATGAAACAATAGACTTTTCAGCAAACGTTGCTGGAACAGCTGGATAGCCACATGTGCAAGAATGAAATTTTATTCTTTACTTTGTCATGAACTGTTGCTTTATTTTTTCATAGAAGCAAGAAGACTTTTAAGAAATATTTTCTTTAATATTTACTTGTATTACATTGAAATAGTTTTTTTAAAAAAAGAATAAAGTTGAAAAGATGTGTACTATATAGAAAATTTAAAATGCATGCAAAACCTAAATAAAAGAGCTAAAACTATAAAAATGTTAGTAGAAAATGTAGATTCAAATTTTCATCATGCTGGATTTTTCAATGGACTTTCAAATATAACATTAACAGCAAAGCATAAGCAATCAAAGAAAAAATGTATAAATCAGACTTCTTCAAAATTAGAGACTTCTGTATGTCAAAAGACACTATCAAGGAAGAGAAAAGACAACCCACAGAACTGGAGAAAATATTTTCAAATCATATTATCTGATGAGAATGTATATAACTCTTAAAATTCAATGAGAAGCAGACAAATCAACTTAAAATGGATAGAAGATTAGACATTTCTCTGAGGAATTTATAATAATGGTCAAGAAGTATATTTAAGATGCCAAACATCATTAGCTATCAGGAATGTAAACCATGAGCACAACAGAATACTATAGCACATAGACTGGGGTGGCTGTAATCAGAAAGATAATGAAGACTGGGAAATTGGAACACAGATACATTATCAGTGGTGAAGCACTTTGGAAAACAGCTTGGCAGTTCCTCAAAATATTAACTATAGGCTTATGACCCAGCAGTTCTGCTCCTAGGAATGTACACAAGAGAAAGGAAATATTTGTCCACATTAAAAAAAAACATATTCTCCCATTCCCTAGCCCTCCCTTTACCCCCTATATACCTAAAATGTACCAATAAACTTAATAAAGATAAAGAAAACAAAAAACCCCTTATATTCTAATATTCCTAGCAGAGAACAATCCAAATGTTTATTAACTGATGTATAGATAAGTGGAATACTGTATATCCTTCTGAGGAATATTATTTAGCCAGAAAATGATTGAAGTATTGTTAAATGCCCAAATCTAGATGAATCTTGAAAACGTTATGATAAGTGAAAGAATTCAGACATAAAATGCCACATATTATATTATCCCATTCATATAAGATATCCAGAGTAAGCAAATCTGCAGAAAGAAAGTAGATTAGTGTTAAGATTTCATGGTTTTTGTGTGTATACATACCACATTTTCTTTATTCATACATCCATTTTTGGACTTTGAGGTTGATTCCTATCCTGGCTATTGTGTTGTTTGGTTTGGTACTGGGGATCAAACTCAGGATCTTTTGCTTGCAAGGCAGGCACAGTGCTGCTAAGCTAAATCTCCACCCCTATCCTGGCTGCAATAAACATGAGGGTGCAAGCAGATGTCTTTTTGTGTTTTCTCTTTAAAAGTTGA